TGGATGAGCAGTAACAGTAAGAAGTGCAGTTTATAAGGATATATGAATAATGATTAATCCTAGACTAGAAGAGGTAAAGATTGTAGTGGTTGAGAAAGGATCCTGTCAGGAGTGTTCCACAAAGTAGTGGTTTGTGGGAAGAAGCTGTCTGAATGGAACTTCCTTCTTACTAATGGAATACAAATGGAATGGAGATAGTTTGTCCCAGTGTACATTGTATTGTTGGTATTAGATGTGAAGATTAGCACTGGTGGAACTAAGGAATGTAGTTCATCAGAACATTTACCATGGAAATATTGAGAAGTTTGCTATGTCTCTTCTGTGGGAAAGGGGTTGTAGGGTGGAAAATAATTCACCAATAACAAGATAACATGGATGCTTTTAAAGTCTTATCAAGACTGGAAAGTGAGGACTAGGCAGCTCCAGCAGATATGGCAACTGTACTCCATTTTTTACGACCTGATCTGACTCTTGTAAAAGTAGAGCATAGTAGGAGTCATATACTTATGGTCCTAACTGTGCAATAGTTTTAATGGTTATTGATGCTTGTAGTTAGATTACCCATGAATACAACTGGATAGAAACTACAAGACCCAGATAAAAATCCAGAACAGCTAACCTATTTTTGCTTACATGATATTCTCTATTTGTAAATGGTCCATTACGCTTTACTCTTGTCATTGAAGCATTGTTTACCATCTCTGCTCTACTAAACTGCTTATCTCAATTTGTATTGTTCACACTTTTACAACAGACACTTCATAGAGACTTTGAACTAAACTCATCAGTTATAAATCTGACTCAGAGAGATTGTTCAAAGCATCAGTTATATACTGTTTAGATGATCAGTTATATCAAGCTAGCTTAATGCAAATGCAGATATATCATGTTATAATGGCACTGGCAAGGTATTGTGGTTGTTGAACAAAAAGTTACATGTTTGGCTTCTGGGTAGGAAAAAAGTAATAGTAAAAAAATTTTCATTCAAAATAGATATCTTTAATAAAATTTTTTAATTTATTTAATATACCGTAATAATAGAAGTCATTTAATTTATAGTAATGAAACAAGTAACATTTTAATAAATAGTTTAAAAACAAAATATTGCTGTAATTAAAACTGATTGTCAACATTTTGTTTATTAAACTATTACTCAATTTTTATAAATTAATATTACTCTTTAAAAAGATATATATGAAATAAGCTTAAACATGAGATATTATATATGAAAATTTTATTTATTTTCAGCATGCAAGACAAAATTCATTCCTATGGCCATTTTCCAACCCAAACAAAGTTTACTTTATTACTTTTTGTGTATTAACTTTGAATGTTTCAAACAATTTACATTCCCCATAATTTTTAAACTAGCCTAAAGGTTCTCCTTTGGATTTGAAAAATCTGAAATAAAAACAAATGTGGAATGAATATCTTCCCATCCTGAAATTTATTAATTCATTGATATTAAATTTTAATTTTTACTTATGAAAAAAAATATTAAAATATAAATCATTGCATTTTTTGAAGCTGTTTTTTATTTTATTTCTGATGCATGACTTCAAATCCAAAAGAAATACGTCCAATCATTTTTTTAATAAGTTCTGAGACCTCCTAATTACAGCCATAACTCACAGGAACCACTACTTCAATATCTATCACAAGGAGCAATGTAGTTTGACCCTGACAACATTCATAACTGTCTGCAATTGCTGCAAAAAAGTCTTAGAAAATGCTAAGTGCAGCTATGCACAAGCAGTCTAAGCCACATCTGAACAGAAACAAAGTGGATCTCTCGAATTCACGAAGATCACCAACCAAATCATGAACAGACGTAAAGTAGCTGTGCTCACAATTATAATTAGCCCCAAGGTCATATCTTCCTCAACAGACAAGGCGAACCTTTTTTGCTTTGATCTTTGCCTCAAACTCAATGTCAGACAACAAAGATCATCTCCTCTTCAACTTTCCACATATCACTGAGCACAATTTCAGTAATATTACCATTACAGTATGAGAAGTCTCTAAATTTATCAAAAGCCTTGACCCTAAGAAAGTCATTGGCCCAGCCAAAATTCAAGTGGTTATCCTTAATATCAACCCAGAATTATCCCCAATCCTAGCAAAGTTATTCAACTGTTCATTGAAGAAGAAATCCTTCCCAAGCCTGTGGAAGGTGTCAAGTGCAAGTCCGTTTTTCAAGAATGCAGGTATGCGATCTTCCCCCTCCCAGTAGAGACCCATCAGTCTCTTCAGTAAGCTTTTTTGAGGCCATAATCAATAAAAAGGTGGTCAAGCAACGAGAAAAGAACATCCTGTTCAGCAATGAGCAGTATGAGTTTCAATCAGCCCAATCCACTGACAACATCCTAACTACCATCACTCACAGAATTAGTGACGCTCTCAACAACACACCCTGAGGACCATGGCATTAGATACCTTGAATGCATTTGAAAAGGTGTGGCACAAAGGTTTATTACACCAGCTCTCCAGCTATGGAATCACTGGAAGAGACATTGATCTTAAAATCCTTTCTAATTACCTGAAAGTAGTTATTAATGGCCAGTCCTCCAAAGCCTTAGAGGGTCAATGCAACGGTCCCCACAAGAGTTACTCCTCAAGCCAACCCACTTTTTGATTTACATAAATGATCTGCCTAAGAATATACTCAGATCATTTGTAACCATCCATGCTGATGATATGGGTGCACCTCTAAAACATTTGATGGTCAGAGATTGGCAACTGATCTCTCTTCCAATTTTGCACAAACTACTCAGTGAGGCAAAAATTAGCAGGTTACATTCAATGCCTTAAAGCCCAAGTTAGTTACATTCCATTACATTAGACCCTGAACTCCCACCAGTCAGGTTGAATGGTTGTCCCTTCAAAGAGGCAGTATGCCTTGAAAGACTACTGGGCCTCAAACTTGCTCCTGACCTCAAGTGAACTCATACATATGATCCAAAGCTAAGGATGCAGGTAAAATGGTCGGCTCCCTGTACTGCTCTAGTAAATACCTGACCTCTCCTGCTATCCTCTCTAAGAGACAGATCAGGCCAAAAATGGAGTACTGTCATCATATTTGGGCAGGAACTGCTCAAACTTCACACTTCAGGTTTCATACAGTTCAAAAGTATCTCCGAGTCCTTGTTGGTGACAAATTATTCTACATCCTCCAACATTTCTCCCACAGGCTTGATGTGGCAAGCCTCTCACTACTTCCACCAATTCTAACCTTCATGGCAAGCACACACTATGCCACTTATATAGTAGCAAACCACCCACATTCTCTCTGTATTCCATTGGCGAAAAGTAAGCTCCACTTGAACAGCTTCTTCAACACAAACCGCTGCTCTGTGTAACTGACTCCAAAGAGGATGTTTCCTTGATCACTACAATCTCAACCTGTTCAAGACTAAAGTTAACTGTTATCTTTCACTCCTATCCACACAAATTGCCTCCTAATGTAACCCTCTACCTCAAGCGGCCACCGGGTATTGTAAAGGGTGAACCTTACTTTAAAGAAAAAAAAATATATTTCAATGCTTTTTAATTACAGAAAAATAGTTGAAATAAAATTATGGAATTTCGGACTTTTGCAAATCCAAAGAGATGAGGCAAGTTTCAAATCAGTGTTTTTTTAGTTTACATTTTATTTTGTGTTTACTACCGTTTGTTTGGTATAAATTGTTTGAAATGCTAAATTTAACAATACCCTTTTTTCCTGGTCATCGATATTTCCCCGGGAAATGGAAGGAATATTTTAAGAGAAAGAAAAAAATAAATTGTTGTAAAATGTAAATTATTTATTTATTTTTTACGCTTTTTTGTGCATTACTTTTTTTTTTAAAACAAAAATGCCACACCAGTATAAAAAGTTCTCAGAACAAGAATAGACAACGATTCGAATAGATTACAGTGTCAAAAAAATTAATAAATAAAATAAACGAAATTTTTCTGTGAAAATTTATTGAGAGAAGTCGACTTTCATGTCACTTCATTAATGATAAATATTCACTACCTGTAGTAACATTTTTTTACGAGGGAAAATTGGCCTATCACCGGTTCCGCCATTATTAGCAATTATGCTTTCTTGTAAATAAAGAAAAAAATCAATTTTTTTGTTATTTTTAACTAAAACTATTCGTCTGCTCAAAAACAGAAACATTTAAATCTTTTTTTTTTTTTTTAAAAAAAAAAGAAAAAAGAAAGAAATTGTTTTACATATTATCGCAAATTCAAAAATTGCGGCGATTACTGTTCGTAGTGAACAGTGGTTGATGAAGAATTCAACAACCACTAACGAGAGATGATACTTTTTTTTCCATACATGTACGGAATAACATTAATGAAACAATCAAATTCTTGAAGAGGGCTTAAAAACATGTTTTGTTGATGTTGGTCGATACATGTGGCAAAGAATATGTATATAGAATTATAATTGAATTAATCCAACATGGAAAAAGGGAGACGGCGTTGCACCAAAAGGGAGATCATTATTTCCTTGAAAATCAACATTTAAACCTTAGCTTTGTACGTCGGCATATACCCGAGCTGGAACACCAATCACTGGCGCGGTTGAGAAATACTTAGCTCATGAACGAACGTTCATGTGTTTGGGTTTAAAAAAAAAAAAAGAAAAAAAAGAGGTACATTATTTGTTATGAAAGCAAATAAGTGTATCTCTTTGAGCTGTTTCTCTCTTTTATTTCTAACCAGACAGTGTTAGTTTAACTTTAAAATAAATACTAAAAGGAAAATTCGTCTGCCTCTTTCAGAGATGCTTTTTTTTTTCTAAACTAATTTAACTAAAAAACAGTTTGGAACTATGAGAGTTAACTAAGTGAGTATTGTTTTTAATTAAAAAAAATATTATTACTATTCACAAAAGTTTCCGATCGGCGATTGAGACTATAGAAGTAATTGCATTTTAATTTGACAAACACCATAACATTAACAAACTATGTAATAAAAAAGTAAAACGAATAAGAAAAAATCCATACCAAATCATATTCCTCGTCATCATCACACATAAAATCTGAGTCGGACATTGTTACAAAAATACAATTATTTTTTTTTTTTCAAATAGTTTTCTTTTTTGCTGGAAAGGGGAAGAAAATGGAAGAAGAAATTTGTCAGCGAAATTTCTTAGAAACTTGCCAACTGCCTGGGCACTTTCTCTCTCTACGCACAGACTGATGACGTCGACATCCTATGCGCCAACGTCATCGATCCAAACACTGTTTAACGCGGCGGTTGTTTCGTAATCAGTTTCTGCTTTCTACGCTCCACGCACATCCACCCTTGTCTCTACTCACTTATCAAGCTCTAAGCATAATAATTTACAAAACTCTTCTTGTGTTGCCGTTACTTTTTCTTCAGTTTAACTTTATTTTTTTTTTTTTAATTTCGAAAACAGAGATGTAGAAATGTTAATTGGATATCACGTTTCTGGATGAATCATACCGTCATTGATGGATAATTACCGAATATCTGTAAAATATTTTTTTCCCCTCGTGAAAAAGTAGAGAAAAAGGTGAATCTGAAAAAAAAAACCCTTAGTTCTGAAAAACACGTTTCTTTATTGGTAACTTGGGAAGAGGATAAAAATCTCTTCTTGAGAATAAAAAAAAAAAAATAATCCAAAAATTGAAAACCATTTTCTATTAAAAGATGGTAAGTTCCTAAAAAAGATGAATTCAAATTCTTTTTCAATTTTAATTTTTAAAATCATTTTTGAGTTTCACTTCATGACAAGAATTTAAATATTAATGTTTATTTTTTTTTCTTCTTTTTTGTGTTTTGTTTTTAAAATTTATGAAACTACTTTTATAGGCGGAATTCCTGAAGGGTTTACCTTGTTATAACGAACATAATTTCACACGTTTCCATCCTGATTCCAGCTGTAAGCCTAGTGTAAGTAAAAATTTTTGATGAAAAATAATTTAACATTACTTCAAAAAAAAAAAAAAAACTTAAAATATTCCACGTATTTTTAAAAATCAACTTAAGTCTGACGTTTTTTATACCACATACAAATGTCCATTTTTATTTATTTTTTACAATGCAACTTGTTCAATAAGTTGAATAAATAACTTAAGAAAATTTTTGAAATGTATTGAACAATTTGATATTCAATTGTTGGATTTTTACTTCACTTTTTCTTTTTTTTACTCCAACTTTATAATATTTCATTGCATCTCTATTTCTTTTGTTAAAAAAAAAGTATTAAGTTTTTGTTTTTTTCCCCCCATTACCCTTAAAAATACGTTTTTCAACAGAAATAGAATGTGGGGGTCTTACTCTTCTTACTTAACGCATAAACTCCTCTCCATGGTTAACGGTCGACATTGTGGCTAAGTTTTTAGTTTGTTTGGAATTAATTTATTAATGATTATTATTATTCATCTTGGTGTGTTATTTAACATTTTAAAAACATTTTTAATCGTTTAATTGTACTGTCATAAATGAATTATTCTATGTTGCACCATGGGATGACAAGCCGATGAAAGATAAAAATTGACATTTTACACATGACCAACTTTAGTTGCATCACGATTTTTTATTTAATTAAAATTTAAAAAAATGATATGGTTACGATCGATGATGACATGCAAATTTGAATCATTTCTAAATTAATTGGTGATAAGATTGATTTTGAATTTCTGGAAGCTTTTTCATTTTTTTTTTTATTATTATTCACTAATGTCGTCCATCTTTCAAGAAGACTTGGTAGTTTTTGTTGTTTTTGCATCGTGTAGTTTACTTTATCAATTAGAAATTTATTCTTATTGTTTACCATCCATAAATTGTTAAAAATCTACTCATTTAGATGGATGAGACAAGAATAAATAGGTTTTTTTTTTTTCTTTGGCCCTTCGTTTGAAATCATTTTTTTCAAAGCAAAGAAATGAGGTGTATGCTTGGAAAGTGTTGAAGAGAAATGGAATAATGGAGGAAAATGATGCTAGAGAATATTTCGTACGTAATAAATGAATTTTCTCTCTTTATAAAAACTATTGTATACTGACTTTTTTCTTTTTACTATGACGTAAAATATTTTTTTATCACTTAAGCTGTCATCATTATTGTAGTAAAGAACTAGGTAGTTACTTTAATTATGATCTACAACAACGACAAAAAATAAAAATTCAATATAAGTTTTTAATTTTAATAGATTCATGTGCAAACATTTAAAATGAAAAAGTAGAAGACAATTTCTTGTGTATTTAAGAACTGTTTTAAGAATTTCGTTGAGAACTGTATTTTATAAACTGCTATATGGCATCCCTTTCCTTACATATTTCTTATGCAAAAATTTAACGTTGATTAATTTTGTCCTGTATTCTTCTTGCTGATTACTTGTAGTTATGAACAATCAATAGTAAAAATTGCTTATTTAGTCTTTTATTTTTCGTTTCTTATGTTCAGAATAATGAACATCAATACGACATTGATTGGAAATAATTTTTCTGGGAAGACATTGTTCACGTCAAAGAAAAATCATTTTGATGTCCAGACATTCATAAACTTGTTTCTAAATCGCTTATATATATTTTTTAAAAATATGATAATGTTTGCAATGGTTATTATTTCATGAATAAATGAACATTTACAACTCTAAAACACAAAATTTCTTCTGCTCGGCTGCGTAATACAGGCGTGGCTCATTTGTGGGTTTTATGGGCCGGTGGACGTCGTACATTGCTGCTATTGCCTTTTTTTTTTTTTTTTTTTTTTTTCGAAGACAATTTAACAAGTGAAAATGGGTCTAAATTTTGGCTTTAAATCATAATTTCTGAGCTTTTATATAAACTTTCACCGACCATCAATTGTTTGCATAAAGACAAAAGTAAAACTAAATCTTCAGTAATTTTTTTTAAAGAGCATATTTGAAGAATGAAGACTAAGGAACGATGTCAGTTTTAGTCTCTTCCTACACTCTCTCGTAAAACGTTTTTTGTGTTTATCAACTTTTTAATCGGGTAATTGAATGCATACTCCTGTTAATCTAAAGTCGGCCCCTTAATTTACTAATCAGGTTTTTCACTATGGTAATCAAAAGTGAAACTACTCTAAAGATACAGCTTGTGAAACTTCTTACTACTAATTGTTAAAAATGAATTAAAATGTCGGTTTACAAAACTAAGTAAAACCCTTTTTTTTTACACATTTTCAGTTTCTGTTCTCTGCTCATTTGCATTAGCCATGAGGAAAGGGATTACCCTTTCCTCTCGGAACGCATAAAATGGATCAATTGTTATAACAACGAAAGCATTACGAAGTAATTAAGTTCATTAATCCGAGCAACTCTTGGAACGACACGTCTCAACATTAATAAGCAGTAGTAATCTCCTGGTACTGCTTATAAACCTAAGCTAATTGCATCAAATAACCAAGATTTTTTAATAATAGCCTCTATAGAATGACAATCTGGTATTCAAATGTTTTTTGTATTATTCGTGAAGTGAAATCATTCATTAAATACTTGATTTCTTATACAAGAAATCACCATTTACACTACAGCATAAAATACTTCATATTTCATTATGTGAAGTTGTAATCTTTGAAAACTTACCTATATCACTTATTGCCAAAAAAACAAACTGACTTTAAAACCGAGCTATATGTAACCTTTTTATTCTGACCTCAAAAGCAATTGGCCAAAAATTACATTTTTATATTTAGAAATTTCCCAGTTTTGAAAGTAATTTCTGAATTTTGGGGGCTGAAAATAATCCAATCTTTATCTGTCTGAAGTTTGTAACTTCAGATTAACAAAATCAGTAACTAACTACTATGTTAATCATTTGAATGCAAATAAGAAAACAAGTTTTAATATTTTTCTGCATATATATTTAGCTGTTTTGGTTGTTTTTGTGTCCTTTTCACTTGCATAGTATGATATATGAATATTCTCTCTTTCTCTCTCTCACACCTACCCATATCTGGTGGAGGAGAAACTTGTAGAATTTAACAAATCACTTGACATGATGGGGTTTATTTTGGGGGTTTGTTGCCTTTTATTATTATTTGAACTTTCTGTATTAACAGGGTTAGGCTGTATTTGTTTTGAATATTCTGTGCAACAGATGCACATGTAAAATAGATGAAAGTTAGCATTTTCTCTACAAGAAAGGACAAACAGCATATTCGCATTTAATTATCTACAGGGATGTTGTACAATTCTGAAAAATCAATATTTGATAAGTGTTGCGATGAATCTCTATATTTTTGTTAATTGAATAAAGAAAATTTAACATTTTCCAAAATTACCTTTTTTTTGTCAAAAATAAAACTCTGGGCACATTTCTTTCCTTTAGTTATAACAGAAAAAATGTTATATATTAGTATAGATAGCATTTTTTTTGGAAAGTATAATGTTCCATAGATATTAAGATTTCCCTGGGCTTTGGTCCCTTGTAATAACATTTCTGGATCTCAGAGACCATTTCTGAATTTGCCTGTTACATTTTTTTTCTCCAAATATTCCTGCTTATGCAGTGTTTGTTAAATTCTTTTTTCAATAATATGCTGTAATCTGGATATTGTGGAAAGTCTTGTAATACAGGTTGAGTATCCTTTATCTGAAAACCTCCAAAATCCAAAAGTTTTTCAGGTACTGACATGATTTGCCACAAATAGAAAATTTCAGAAAACACTGGGGAAGTTCTTAAGTGATATACAGCTGTTGTAAGTGATCTCAATCTGGCCTGGGTGTGGGTTCTCTAGCCAAGCTATTTAGCCTATGTTGGCACCAGTTTTTGTTAGCAATTGTCACAACAGCACTTTTCATGGATTATGTACCATGTGTTTCATGCTCAATAAAGATATTATTCAAAATGTCAGTCCTGCATTTATTTGTAGTAGTGATTATTATTATTATTTTTTTTTTTTTTTAAAACACATACTGAAAATACAAAACATTTTTACATGAAAAAATTAATTTCAGCACTTAAAAATCTGAACATTACATGACTATATACACAAAATTTATTAAATTTTATATAAAACTACCTTCAGGGTACATGTATAAGCTGTGTTATGAGAT